GCTATGTATTTTTTAATACAATAAATTATTATCATTATTATTATTTGCATTTAAAATAAATTTTAAATGTAAGACATAATAATTAATAAATTAACTAAAAGACGAAAACAATTTAAAACACATCAAACACGATTATTTATTAAAGTGCATAGTTCAAATCGACATTTTCAAGAATTTCTTGCTCGTCATAGACAAATCAAGGATAAAGAAACTTACATTGCACTTCAAAATGCATTAATCGATCATTTGTGGGATGAAGATATGAATTTTGAGAATTAAGTTACAAAAATTTAGCGACTTCATAATATCTTCTATCCAAATTCGAAATGTATTGTACTATTTTCTGATGGCATGATTTCATATTTTCGTTGTTGAAGTATTTTTATTAATTGTTCTATATTTTTTATATTTATTAATGAATTTAATCTTTTCCGTAATTTAACGTAACTATTTATTTAGTAATTTATGTATTTATGAAATAAATAAATAAATAATATTTCAAATAAATAAATTATAAAGAATAAAATGGAAGAAAATGGTTAAACACTGTTCATTTGGTGTAATTTTTGGTGTAATGGTTGGAGATGAATTTTAATTTGATGCAAGATTTGATGCAAAATTTGGTGTAGGGTTGGAGATGGTCTAAATCTCACACAAAGATAGTCCACGACTATCTCAACCTTGAAATAGTGAAAATATAAGGTGGAGTCTCCTATTACATGTGCACAAAAGGGCTTAGCTACATATTCCTTTTGGATGCAGGAAACAAATAAATTCATTCTTGCAACACATGACAAACAAATTAATTCATATTCCAAATGTGACATTATAATTTCAATTCTTACTCTACGTGTGACATTATAATTTCAATTCTTACTCTACGTGGGATAATACAAAGTCAATTCCCGACAAATTTAAGTGCTTATCTAATGACTTTCTTGAGGTTTTCCTTCAATAAGTTTTTGGTAGTCGAAATTTAGGCCATTACCTCCTATAATTTGACGTGCAGGAAGTTGGTTTACATTAGCTATTTGGAAACATTGGATTGATGGTTGAGGAAAAGTGTTAAAGATAAGCAAGAGGAACAAACTCGAATTGATAGAATGCCAGTTTCACGAATTTCTTGATACTATTCTATCTCTACATGGTACGATATATTGAAGCATAGTGGAATTAGTGTTTTGTGCCTCAAGCTTTAAAATTGTCACAAAAGAGGCAGCAGCAAGAGGATGCCAAGCCTTGATTTGGAAGCACTCCATTTAAGGACAAACGACATCGAACAGTGCTTTCTTTTAGAAGGTAGAGCAAGTTTTATTCCCTTTTATGAAAGAAATTACTTTGTTGTTTAATAATTTTGTTGAATACCCCATTTTAGTTGGGGATGGCTTTATGTAACTTTGAAGTGGACTCTCTCAATTTTGAATTTTGATATTGGTTTTTCGTTTTTAATTAATGGAGAAGGAGAAAATACTACTGAAAAGGAAGAATGGATGTACTTTTGCAGCTATTGTTTGAATATAATGCTTGAACAACGAAGTAGTTCGCGAAAACACTCTAAGTGAGTATAGTGCCTTTTTTGTGAGCATTAGTTGACATTAATTGATTATTAGCTCTTGAGGAACAAGGATAAGTAGTTGAATGTGTGTCAAGGTGGATATACATTTAAAAAAGATATTAAATTGGATATTAGCACGTTGTTGAAGTGAGAGAAATAGTGTTGAGAAAAATGGATTAAGATTGTTCAAGGTAGACTTAAAAATGTACCATTAAGAAGTAACTTAATTTCGAACTGACGTCAGAGTCGAACGAGAAAGGTATCTTTGTATAAAAATTGTTGGGCATAAATCAAACAATAAGTCAAAAAGAAAAGGATTGATTAAGTTCTCTTGTAAGTAAAAAAGTAAGTTTCAAAATAAATAACAAAATTGGAAATACGTAAGTTAAGAGTTTCTTTCAAAATAAATATTGTTTTTCTTAAAAGTACATATTTAGAAACAAGAAGTTACTTAAATTTTTACTTTTTTCTACGCTAAGCCAAACATGCCTTTACGTGGGTTTTCTTATTGTGATTTGACCTCAGAACGGAGTTAAAGGAAGTCGTCTGTTTTGAAGAGCATGGTAGGATGAGATTTCCTTCTTCACAGCTTTGGTTAGCCCGAACTTTGATCTGATAAACTTGGAAGTAATATTTGATTAATATTGTTCATTTGCAATAATTTACCCTTTTTTATCTTCAGTTTAGGTATTGTTACGAGGCAACCAATGGTGTTGCAACTTCACAAGACGGAGGAAGAGCTACAGGATAAGCGAGAATTCGAAAACATGCAGATGAGAAGATTCAATGATTTCAGTATGTGAGCATAGAGCTCGGATAGTGAAAACATAAACTCCTTTATTTGCTTGTTTCGTTTGTAATGATATAACTTAATTCATCTGCATGTTCAATAAAGAAAAGTTCATCTCAATGTAAGCATAGAAAATATTTTGTCGAGGATGTAAATGATGGGAATTCAACACATTTAATATACTAACATTATTTTCAAACTAACGCAGTCCGTGCCTTACAAAGGCCAATACTAGTTTTCTAGAAAAGATTCGATAATTTGTTTTTCTTTGGCTAATGTCAAAGGGTACATTTATTTGATTAATATCCATAATATTCAAGTGTTGACATGGAATTATGTTCATACGCGAGTCTTGTATATTCAATTTGAAACTATGAAGAATTTTATAGAGTTTAATGCATTGCAAGTCACACAATTTCAAGGGAAGTTGCATTCAACTTACTCATCTTCAATTTAGTACAATCCAATCACCAAATTTCAATTTACTTGCAAATCTAACTACTCCATCCCATGTGCCAATCTAACTAATGTAGAGCTGGACAAATCTCCCGAACCGAATCAAACCCGACGGTTCTTCTCAAGTTAAATATCTGAACGGGTATCTGAATTAAGAATCTACGGGTACGATTCGATTCTCGATTTTAGACCAAGAACCGAATAAGAACGGAATATTCCTAATTTTTTATTTTTTTATATCGAATAAATCAAATTATTTTAATTTTTTCTAAACAAATTAACAAATTAGGTGATTAATTGATACTTTATCTCCTAAGCCCCAGCCTAGCTAGCTTGACCTAATCCAATTAAATTCTAAATCCAATTTTTTGGCTCAATTATTTGTTTCATTTCTAATTTTTTAATTTTTAGCCCAAGTGCCATTTTTAGTTTTTATTCTTCCATTTTTTAGCCCAACATCCAAGTGATCCAACCCACTAATGACTAACCCTAATTAAATTACATATATTATCACCTACACATAACATATCTGACATTTCAAAACTCAAATAGATGTATAGAACCTATGACTCCGAGGCCGAAGCTATGACCTTCGGGCTCCGATGGCAACCTTCGACCGTTGATCATTTGAATAAGGTAGTGTGTAAACTTCCGTATATGTGATTGGTAAATTAATCTTGTTGGACAACTTGTTATATACATGTTAAATTGGATTACGTTAATTTATAAAATTACGATTGAATGTGTTATTAGTTGTATTTATGTAGTGTTGTAATAAATGTTAAAAAATTTAATTATAGTACAGAATCGAAATTTTTGGTTCGATTCGATTCTCTTTAAAATCGAACCGAACCGACCCGTGCTCAGGCCTAAACTAATGTAATATGCTAACGTGGACGGACAAGTGACATTTATGTCCATGTCACATAACGAACTCAAAATTTCAATATTAGCAAGTGAGCCAAAGACGGTGAAGAAGAGAACAATGACTTGTAATGGCATTTCAAAAGTTTCATTTCAAACTAAAAAGACGTAATAAACAAAATTTTGAGGGAAAAAAAAAAGAAAGAAAAACTTTCTCATGAAGCTCATATTTTCAATCGTAGTTAATAAAATCGGACTAGACCATCAAGCTCGACCCAGGAACTGGTGAACCGAAAACTGATCTAGTCCGATTGGCATTATTTAGTCCATTTACAATGGAATCGGACAACAACCATCCAAACCGGTTTACATTTATCCTAAACCTGGCAGGTTTAGTTGAATCGAATATTGAATTGGTTTTTATTATATTGGTACATAACAAAATTTAATATAAAGGTCGCATGAAGAGATACTTGAACCTGCAGTGCCTTGTTGAAACATTAAAGCCTTGCCTACTGTGGTGTATACAATAAATAATATCAGCCAAATTTATATATTTAATTTTACCGGAATAACATAAAATATCATTTATACAATCATTTTTGTTTTAAAAATGTTTTTAATTAAAATTAAGATCTAAACCACTGACCCCCGGTTCTTGATGGATTTTTCGGGTCGATGACCAAATCGAGTCCGATAACTATGCTTCCAACTCAAGTGACTCAAAAATTAGTCGAAAGGATGTAAAAGAGCCCTATACCTACACATTTAGGCCTTGTTTGATAGACTCACATTTTTCATGAAAAATGGAAAATCAATACCATTTTCTAACTTTTCATATGTTTGATAGGTAAAATTTTCCATGAAAAATGAATTTCACATTTTCATGCCACATGGACATTTTCCATGTTTTGGAGGAATTTGAATTCTCACCAAAATGGTGAGAATTCATTTTCCGGTTTACTGTAGCATTTTTTTTATCATTTATTTTTTATTTTTTTGTTGGCAATAAAAACAAATTCTAAGAATTATTGTAAAAAATATTTCCACTTAATTGACAATTTTCATATAAAACAAAGTCAAACGAACATCAGAAGATTGATGATTTTCATGATTATTTATTTATTTTTTATTTATTTTTTGGCAATAAAAACAAATTTCATCCTCACTACCAGTAAAATATATCATTTTAATTTATAATTTTCATGTAAAATAAAGTCAAACGAACACCAAAAAATACTTTTATTTCAACATTTTTCACGTGAAAAATTATATCAATCAAATACAATAATTTATAATTCCCAAGAAAACAATTTCTAGGCAATTCAATTTCCTGAAATTCGTTTTTTTTCCACCTAAATTCCATCTTTACAATCAAACGGACCCTTAGTTAACTTTTGCCTACAAAATCATTACAGAGCTAGTGATATGACATCATAAAACAGCTGAGAAGCAAGTACTTCTAAACCTGACGCTACATCAAGTGATAATATGCATCCGCTTCGCGATTGACCGAATCGATCATAGGCAGAGATACGGAAATGACATTTTAGGGCAATGCTTGCCCACAAAAGAGAAGGTGAAATTGCTGTCTTATGAGATAATGGGACGTTTTGGGACCCTTTTGATCAGCTTGATTAGTTCGTAAGTTCTCTTGTCTCTTCCAGCGTAGAGGCAAAGGTCAAGCGGAGTTAATCCGTCCTGACAAGAAGAACATTAAGAGTGCATAAGAGGTCCCTTTTTAACACTTCCATCACACAAAAGAACATAACATAAGCTGCCTCAAAGTAAATCAAATTGCTATGATTTAGAAGTAACGATGATCTCATATGAAAACTAAAGCCAATCAACGTAAACGTTATACAAAAGACTTCATGTCCACTCCTGTTAATTCTATATATTGTGAATTTTCCTTAAATGTCACAAGGTCTAAACATTGCAAACGTGTCTCATACCGCTGGCTAAAAGTGCCAAACTGTATAATAGTATGATTGTCAATTGGCTAGTTCCTATTACATGAAAGCATCCTTTAATTGCTACACTTATAATTTAACAGTGAACATAAGTGACCCCTATTAACACGGCAGAAAAAAAAAAAAAGAATCACATTTTAGGACACCAATTACAATGATGAATGAGAATCTGATAAATGATCACTAGCTAAGAACGTCAATATTAGAAGTTCTAGATGTTCACCTGGTTCTTTATGGTCTTATCGGCTCCCTTAATCAACAATAGCCTCACTATATCTGTCCTATGGGATTGAACAGCAAGATGTAATGCTGTCCACCCATCCTGGAAAAATTTAAATACCAGGCTAAATTAATCATGGGAATCAAACAGAGATTCTCAAAATTCATATTAGCTAGAGAACGTGGTTTCTGATGATCAAAGTATTAGCAATCCTACATTATCCTGAAGGTTTATATCAACGTTGTACAATAAAAGAATTTTTATCATCTGACTTGAAGCTGTGCGAACTGCATAGTGCATTAAGGTAGCCCCTTCCTGCCATCAGCACAAAATTAAGAATTTAGCTGCCTGGAGTGGAAAGTGATAAGAAAAGAACAGATCATGGGAAATGATACAGATGGTAACAGGAGATCTTTTAATAAGCCTTTAACTAAATGATTCCATAAAATGCTTCCACAATCTGAGTGCACTTATGCATAAGTAGCTCCATTATCTTAAAAGGAAGGTTATAAGAACTCTAGTTTCAGAATTGAACACCCGTAACTCTTTACACTTGAATAAGATTTTGGAAACTGGAAAATCAATTAAAAACAACATCTAGGCTTCGTCGTCCCCTTGTTATAGACAAGCTGAATGACGTGGTGAATGGTGCCCAAGTAGTTCTCACTGCCAAGAATGAAAGTGAAACACGACGCCGGGGTTTAGGGTTTCGATGCCAGGCATTTAAAGTATATGCAAAACCATCATGCACATACAAAAGAATAAAATATCACGGTAGCACAGGAAGAAAGATTGAGAAAGATTCTTCGATCACAGCATGCATGCTTACTTTGTCACGAATAAAGGGATTTGCTGATTCTCTCAGAAGACAGTTAAAAATAGCCTGTTTTTTCCCAAGTATTGCTTTGTGAATCCCAGTCAATCCATCCTGTCAGAAAAGAAAAACGAAATAACAGGAAAGGGCATTCAGACCCAATACAATAAGGTAATTCGAAGAAATGTCATCAATTTATCACAAGAATATACAAACTTATATAAGCATAGGAGCAGGCAAAATGTATATGAAATACAAATATGCAGATGGTAGTTGTCACCCATTCCACCTTGTCCAGGGCGTTAATATCAACATCATGTTTTAACAAAGAAGTCATGAGGTAAAATTCTCCAGAGGCAGCAAGAGTATGTACGGGATGCCATTTCCCCTGAAAATGAGTACATGAAAATTCATGAATTAGCATAATGCCATATATTGAGAGTGCTCAACTAATAAGAGAGAAATATCCATGATGAATATACATGAAATAATAAATAAGAATACACGTCGATAGGAGGAGATGACGCCATTTGAGGACAAATTAAGGTTGGGACAATTTGGATGGATTGGGAATTGACTAGCATAGACCTAAAGAAGCTTCCATTTACAAGATCAGTGTGATCTCAATTCTCAGGTGGACCAAAATTGTGATGGCCAAATGTAGTTGCAAAATGTTTAATGTGTCTTTTGGTAGATTTGGCATTGGATTGAACAGAACAAAAAATTAGTATGCATGGAAACCTAAGTTCTAGAGTAAGGCCTTGCTGCTTGTTTTGTAGTATGATAGCAAAGGTTGTTCAGTAAAAAGAGAACTACATAGCTGCAGCAAAAACAATTTGTTTGGAGAAAGAGAACTTATGAGTAAAAATAATTATCATTGTCCTAATATAGAATCAGAGAAAGAAAAAAGGGCTTATGGGGACAGGCAGAGACGTACTTCACTGAGATAACCAGTGGAAGCGGATCCAATTAAAAATTTAACTCTAAACCTCAAACCAACTTTAATTTTCATAACAAAATATTCAAAAATGACTCGTGATGGTACAATGCTGTAGCATTAACTATTAAGACAACCGAAATCCATCCAAATTTGAAACTCAAAAGTTGTGTAAAGAACTTGGCTCATTTAACACACAAATGAAAAAGAGGAAGTCTGGTTCATTTATTTCATTGACTAGACAAAACTTGAAAAATTATATATGCATTTTCAGAACCAATCCCCTCAGTTAAATTTTTCTGTAACCTTACATATCAGGAAAGGATACTTTATCAAAATTTTAGGGAATTTGAAGTGAAAATATAATTTTCTTGAGGTAAAGAAGCAATTCTTTCTGCTCGACCAGTGAACAGTTTAACAGCAGCGAGAAGTATTCATATAAACAAGCAAAATTTCTATGCTAAAGCAAGTTTAGAAGCAAGTCGCTTTTCAATTGCATGATAGTATCAGTCCAGTCTTACAATATATATAAAACAATATACTAGGCCATCACAAACTAAAAGAAAAGTAAGAAACATTCAGAAAGAGGAACTTACAGAGGTAGCAACTGCGAGATCAGGGATCCGCCTATTCAGTAGTAACTTTTCCTCCTTTGTGAACAATTTGTTTGTACCTACTTCAGTAGAATGACAGAACAAAATGCTGAAGGTCAGGATGCTGGATATCTACAGGTTTACAGTAATAAGGGAGAGAGGGAGGGAGAAAACTATAAGCACCAACTATTCCAACTTAATTTCCCAACCTTCAAAAGTAGGGGAAACGAGCAAACTACCATAAGAGTTTCATTTCAGTACGTTATTACTGATGGACACAGAGATATCAAGGTTGTAGGAATACTGTGCAGTTATGAACTAAATAAAGCTCATGATCAAATTTTTATTTCT